GTTGCCCAGGTGGGTCTTGAACCTGCGGGTTCAGGCAGTCCACTCACCTCAGCCTCCCAAAGGTGCGGGATTACAGGCTGAGCCACCGAGCCCGGCTTCTAGAGACAGTTTAAACTACCACCGTACCCCACATTACCCCACCACACACAAAGTAGAAGCTCAGCCCTACTGAGTAGAGAGCCAGTCCTTGCAGGGTAATTTCACTATAGTTCTCTATCTTTATTGAGACACTACTGCACACATGAGAGAAATAGTGCTTTTTTGGAAAAGATTGAAATCCATCACATTTCAGAGGCGGAAGTAAACCCTGATGTAGGCAAGGGACTCTGACAGTCGGAGCAGCTGCAGTAGGGCTCAGAGGAGCAATCTCTCTTCGTGGCAGGTTTTTGGGAAACGATCATCCCCTCCAGGTCCTTCACTTTGTTTTCCACCATCTGAAGCTTGTTTAAAATTTTCTCTTGCAGACCCAAGGACAGGAAGAGATTATTATTGTCTTGAGTTTGAAGACTACTTCCTTCTGAGCTGGTTAGCAAAGCCTGAAAAATATCTGAGCCCTTCTTGTAAATTTTGTAGAGTGTGATTACAAACAACAATATTTTCTAAAATGGAACAACAGAAGTTGAGTGTTATTTGTTTATTCATGTGAATTGCCACAGTTTAGTATAGATACAAAACAAAAACCTAACAGTAACAGTAATAGCTCATTGCTATGCCAAGTTTTCCATTTAACAAAACATTTTCACACCTGTTTCATCTTTTGATTTTCATACAAACTGGAAAGGTAAGCAGGTCAGGGATTATTATTTGCATTCAATTAATTAAGATTATAATAATAGATACCATTTGCTAAATGTCTACCACATACTGGGCTCTGTGCTAGAAGTCACCTTGCCTATGCACGATCTAATTATACAAAAAAACCAGAACTGAATAAATATTGATATACCTTCCAGTTTGGACCCTGTCATTGCCCAAAGTCATATATATTGGCCTGGTAGAGCCAGTCCTACAATCCAGGAATTCTCTCTTCCAAGGTTGCTTCTAAGACATAGTAGACTAAAAAACTGGATTTCCTGGGCACGGAAAAACTTTTAAACATATACTCAGAAATATACTAGGACAGAGCTGGGCATGGTGGTGCACACATGGAGTCCCAGTTACTTGAGAGGCTGAGGTAGGAGGATCACTTGAGCCCAAGGTGTTCGAGGGTGTAGTGCACCATGATGGTACCTTGAATAGCCATGCACTCCAGCCTGGGCAACATAGTGAGATTCCACCTCTTAAAAATGTTAAAAAGATATATATATACATATATGCTGGGATAACAATAAAACCAATCATATTTTTCCATAATCATAATAACTAGCACAACATATTGAATATCCATGTGCTAAGCTTTATACATACAATGTCTCCTTTAATTCTCACAACAAGCCTGTGAGGAAAGCATTGCTAGCAAGCCCATCTTACAGATAAGGAAATGGGTCAAGTGGTGCAATGAAGATTTAAGCCCAAGCAGTCTAACTTCAGAGCCCGTTCTCTTCTTCATTCTGTTATATGGCCTCTTTTTCTTCACTGAGCTGTCTGGAGGACTACAAGCTCAAAGAGCTGACTAAGCTAAACCCAGAACTAGATATGAGTTTGGTTTCTTGCCTTACACTCTCCTCTTTGCTAGTTGAAGTGTGAGTACACACATATTCCTGTTGGAGATTTAGGTGAGTTAGTTTACATTAAATAAGATTTTGGAGAAGAATTGAATTTGGAATCCTAAAAACTGGGTTCGAATCCCAGTTTTGCCAACTCTTATAAATTATGTGAACTTGGACAGGTGATTACCAAGTTCCCTTCGCCTACAAAATGGATCCCTGCCCTGGTTACTAAGCATGGTTTTGAGAGGTTAAAATAGAAATTTTCTATTTCTGTGCCATGATCCCTAAAATAATGACATGTGAAACAAATGAACAATATAAAATGATCCAGTAATAACTTCTCTTTGCATTTATCAGGTAAAGTCATCAGTCTTTAAGAAAGCCCTCTTAGCCGGGCTCGGTGGCTCAGCCTGTAATCCCACGCCTTTGGGAGGCTGAGGTGAGTGGATTGCCTGAGCCCGCGGGTTCGAGACCCGCCCGGGCAGCGAGACCTCATCTCTACAGTAAATCAAAAAATCAGCTGGGCGTGGTAGTGCATGCCTGTAATTCCGGCTACTTGGAAGGCTGAGGCGGAAGGATCGCCGGAGCCCAGCAGGTCGAGGCTGCGGTGGCTGGGAGCAGCCACTGCACTCCAGTCTGGGCGACAGAGTGAGACTCCAATTCAAAAAAAAAAGAAAGCCCTCTTTGAATTGCCTGAGCCCATGGGTTCGAGACCAGTCTGGGCAACTTGGCAAAATCTCATCTCTACAATAAATCAAAAAATTAGCCGGGCATGGTGGCGCATGCCTATAGTTCCGGCTACTTGGAAGGTAAGGCGGAAAGATCACCTGAGGCTGCAGTGGCTGTGAGCGTGCCACTACACTCCAGCCTGGGTGACAGAGTGAGACTCCAACTGAAAAAAAAAAAAAAAGCCCTCTTTCAATCCTGTTGTGTTAAATTTCCACTGACCGAATCTCAATGCACCTCAGTTTCTTTGTCATGTGAAAATAACCTCTATCAGGCCATGGGCAGTGGCTTACACTTGTAGTCTCAGCACTTTGGAAGGCTGAAGTGGGAGGATCATTTGAACCCGGTACAAGACCAGCTTGGGCAACATAGTGAGACTTCGTTTCTACAAATAACAAACAAAATTAGCTGGATGAGGTGGCATGTGCCTGTAGTCCCAGTTATTTGGAAGGCTGAGGTGGAAGGATTGTCTGAGTCCAGGAAGTTGAGGTTGCTGTGAGCTGTGATCATGTCACTGTACTCCAGCCTGGGCAACAGAGTGACATCCAAACTAAAAATTAAATTAAATTAAATTTAAAAACAAACAAAAACTTCTATCCATTTCAAGGAATTGTTGGGATTTGCAAAGCATTTGACTATATTATAAATAAACTATTGTTATTGGTGATTAAATACTAAATGTTTCTCCCAATCAGTCATAATTCTCATTCCCAAAAGAGCTGCTGTATATTTTGGAGACTTCTCTTGTTAAAACACAACAATGAAAACATTTTGATGACTTAATAAATACATATACCACCAGGTGTGGTGGCTCAAGCCTGTAATCCCAGCACTTTGGGAGGCTGAGGCGAGAGGATTCAAGACCAGCCTGGGCAACTTGGCAAGACATCATCACTACAATAAATTAAAAAAAAAAAAAAATTAGCAGGGCATAGTGGTACCTGCCTTTAGTTGTAGATGCTTGGAAGGCTGAGGCAGAAGAATTGCCTGAGACCAGCAGGTTGAGGCTGTGGTGCCGGGAGCATGCCACTGCACTCCAGCCTGGGCGACAGTGAGGTTCAACTCAAAATAATAATAACTTTTTTCAAATAAACAAATAAATACTTATGCCTCCTTATCAGTGATAGATACATGGCATAGTAAGAACAGAAAGGCCATACCCAAGACTCAGTTATACTATAGTACCTGTTCTTTAAATATAGTAGGCACTCAAAGATGAGTAAGTGATCAAATAAATTTGGGGGTGAGGCTGTCTTCTCAGGTTATGCTTATGTTTTATCTATTTTATTATAGCAGACAGCCAAAGACCATTGAAAGAGTATTTTTATGCCCCAAACCTAATTGCTTGAAGGTACCTAGTTTCAGCCAACTTAAGGCACAGAGGTTCATCTTGTACATCAGCATGGTCTCAAAACTGGGTGGCAGCAATATGGGAGAGAACCAATCACAATTAAAATTTTAACTATTTAAATGTCTCTGTAATAAAAGAATATAACCTGAATTGACCGGACACTTCGTTTCCATAAGGTGTATAATCCTATTCCCAACATAATTGAAAAGGTAATCGCCAGGATGACTTGCACGACCGGAGCAAGAGTGCCTATTAGACCAGAATTTGTTTGCTGAGACGCACTGGTCTCTCCCAGAAAACTTGCTTGTATCCAATTCCATATTGCGCTCAAAGAGAGAGATGCCAAGAGGTTGTCCCAGATAGAAGATGAAGGTGGAGGTGTTGACATTTTAATAAGACAGCAGCTCCAGGAATTACATGTACAGAGGCTTCAGGAATCTAGAAACAAGTTAGAGGGTGTGGTCTGACAGCCCTGGTGTTTTGGAGCCATTGTGAGCTATGCTTTGTGATGTCACTGTTCCAAAGGTCAGTCTGCTTCCCACTTACCCAGTGAATCTTCCCACTCAAAACCAACCAGGCAGTGGCCTGGGTTTTCAGTCCATTCCTATTGCTTTCTCTGATCTTTGGCTAGTCCTAGTTCTAGCACAGCACTCTCCAATACAACTATATGCAATGATGAAAATGTTCTCCATCTCTCCCTTCCAATATGGTAACCACCAGTCACTTGAAACATGCATAGTGTAGCAGAGGGACTGATTTCCATTTTAATTAAACTTAAATAGCCACATGTGACTAGTGGCCACTCTCTTGGATAGTGTAGATACAGAACATTTCCAACAATTGCATAAAATGAAAAGTGACAATTTAAAGAGGACTTTTTTGGATTGGAGTCTTACTCTGTTGCCCAGGCTGGAGTGCAGTGGCACACTCACGGTCCCACAGCCTCGATCTGCTGGGCTCAGGCGATCCTTCCACCTCAGCCTTCCAAGTAATTGGAACTACAGGCGTGCACCACCACACCCGGATAAAAAGAGGACTTAAAGAGTGAATCACTTACTTGGTAAATGTGGAAGAAGGTTATTCCTGATTATTTTGTAGCATTCCTGTCTTTTCATATGTTACTATTGTCTAGAAATTTTGATCTTTGGAAAGGCTTTTCATATATTTCAACCCCACTTTGCTTATATTTTTGCAGATAGAGATTTTACTTCCTTTACAAGGTTTTAGGAACAATGGTTTTCTAAGCACTTTGTAAACAGGAGCATACTACATTGTAATCTATATGACATGTTAACAAATGAGTTACTTACTACATACTCATTAAGGAGGTATGAAGATATAAAAAAAAATGTATGATTTGTTCCTAGAAAGCACTAATGAAAAAAATTCACATGTAAGTATATAAATTGTGAGATTAGATTACAAAAACAGCAAGAATCCAAAAGATTTTGTACTAAGAGAAGGAGGGGTGCAATAAGGAAGGAAAGGGCCGATGACAACAAATAATTTTTTTTTAATTATCATTTCTGAATAGAACAAAAATGCAAAAATAAATTTAAATAATAAAAAATATGGTCGGCACCTGTAATCTCAGTGCTTTGGAAGGCTGAGGCAGGAGAATCGCCTGAGGTCAGGAGTTCCAAACCAGCTTGGGCAACATAATAAGACCCTGTCTCTAAAAACTAAAAATTAAAAAATTAGCTAGGCATGGTGGTGTGTGCATGTAGTACCAGTCACTTGGGAGGATTGCTTGAGTCCAGGAGTTTGAGGTGACAGTGAGCAATGATTGGCCACTGCACTCCAGCCTGGGTGACAGAGTAAGAACTTGTCTATAAACACTTAATTTAAACAATATTGTGTGATGCTATACGAGATGAAGATATAGAAATCAGACACTACAGGTTCCAATTTGTTCATTCTGATTGACAGAAAGAACAGGAATAGAGAAATCTGGTGGAGAAGGAAGAACTGTTTTGTTCTTGCAGCCAGGGGTGGTGTGGTTTTAATTGAGGTGTTGGGCAGATTCAGGCAATATGAGGGAAGCATTGCTGTTAGAAATACAGTACTTTTTTTTTTGAGTTGAAGTCTCACTCTGTTGCCCAGGTTGGAGTGCAGTGGCACGTTCACGGCCACCGCAGCCTTGACCTGCTGGGCTCAGGTGATCCTTCTGCCTCAGCCTTCCAAGTAGCTGGGAGTACAGGTATGCGCCACCATGCCCGGCTAATTTTTTTGATTTATTGTAGCAGTGAGGTCTCACCAAGTTGCCCAGGCTGGTCTCAAACCCCTGGACTCAGGCTATCCTCTCACCTCGGTCTCTCAAAGTGCTGGGATTATAGGCATGAGCCACCATGCCCGGTCGGAAATATAGTATTAATACTTGTTTTTGAGCTGGGCGCAGGGGCTCAAGTCTATAATCCCAGCACTTTGGGAGACTGAGGTGAGAGGACTGCCTGAGCCTGGCTAGGGGATTGAGACCAGCCTGAGCAACTTGGAGAGACCTCGTCTCTGCAATAAATAAAAAAAATTAACTGAGCATGGTGGCGAGTGCCTATAGTTCCAGCTACTTGGAAGGCTGAGGCGGAAAGATCTCCTGAGCCCAGCAAGATCAAGGCTGCAGTGGTTGTGCCATGGTATTCCAGCCTGGGTGACAGAGTGAGACTCCTACTCAAAAACAAAAAACAAGCCGGGTTCGGTGGCTCAGCCAGTAATCCCGCGCCTTTGGGAGGCTGAGATGAGTGGATTGCCTGAGCCCGCGGGTTCGAGACCCGCCTGGGCAGCGAGACCTCATCTCTACAATAAATAAAAAAAAAATCAGCCAGGCATGATAGCACGTGCCTGTAATTCTGGCTACTCGGAAGGCTGAGGTGGAAGGATCACCGGAGCCCAGCAGGTCGAGGCTGCGGTGACCGGGAGCGGCGACTGCACTCCAGTCTGGGCGACAGAGTGAGACTCCAACTCCAAAAAAAAAAACAAACAAAAAAAAAACCACAAAAAACAAACAAACAAAAAACTTGTGTTGGGGTGAAATGACCTACTGATTTGGGAGTGACTGCTATTAATGTTTTTTTGTTTGTTTTTTGAGTTGGAGTCTCACTCTGTCACCCAGGCTAGAGCGCAGTAGCATGCTCACAACCATCATAGCACTGGGCTCAGGCAGGCGATCCTTCCTCCTCAGCCTTCTGAGTAGCTGGAACTACGGGCACCCACCACCACGCCCAGTTAATTTTTTGATTTATTGTAGAGGTGAGGTCTTGCCAAGTTGCCGGGGTTGGTTTCGAATCTCTGGACTCAGGTCATCCTCTTGCCTCTGCCTCTCAAAATGCCAGGATTACAATAGGCGTGAGCTACCGTGCCTGGTGATTGTTATTAATGCGAAACTCACCGTCCATTGGTGACTGACCATAGCCAGAATCCTTTCTAGCAAGGAATAAAAGTTACTCAGATTTACTTTAACAGGTGCTTAATCATTAAAGAATGGTAGCCAAAAACTTATTGGAGAAAGATAGAGTTGTGACAATGGAATAATCTCCCAAGATTCCCTAAATTAGATAATGTGAAGGGCTACATGGCATCTATTTTCCTTTCAAAGCACTTAACACAGTTATAGTTGCTTTTGCAGTTGTTGGTTTAACATCTGTCTTCCCTGACTATTGTCAACCCGAAGAAGACAGGAGCCATATCCATTTTATTGACTACTAAATCCATAGTGTTTGACACATTGTAGGCATTCAAATATTTTAAGTAAATGCAAATGCCTTTATAACCAAAACTGTTCATTTGTCAAGTGACTTTTATCATATTTGTGTCCACATTTGTAGAGAAGCAGAGTAGAGTGGTTGTTAAGGTAGGTGTTGAGAGTGTGATGACTCTCAGCACCTTCCTGCCACCGCAGTCGGACCTCGCTGCTCCAGCCTGTGGGGCACATTCTATCCTTTCAGCCTGCAACCAGCAGAGAAAAAATTACATATTTTCTTGCCCCGTACATACCTTGAAGCAAGCCACAAACTTAAAATACATCTTAACCATGAGGGAATCATGCATATTCAGGTCAGTGTGGCAACCAGATTGGTGCAAAGTTCTGGGAGGTGATCAGTGATGAACATGGCATCGACCCAACTGGTACCTACCACGGGCACAGTGACCTGCAGTTGGACCATGTCTCTGTATACTACAATGAAGCCACAGGTGGAAAATGTGTTCTCTGTGCTATCCTGGTGGATCTAGAACCTGAGATCATGGACTATGTTCGCTCAGGTCCTTTTGCGCAAATCTTCAGACCAGACAGTTTTGTTTTTGGCCAGTCTGGAGCAGGCAACAACTGGGCAAAGGGTCACTATACAAAGGGGACCGAGCTGGTTGATTCCTTCCCGGATGTGGTAAGGAAGGAGGCTGAGAGCTGTGACTGGCTGCAGGGCTTCCAGTTGGCTCACTTGCTGGGTGAGGGCACAGGCTCTGGAATGGGCACCCGCCTTATCAGCAAGATCCGAGAAGAGTATCCTGACCGCATCATGATACCTTCAGTGTGGTGCCCCGCCCAAAGTGTCAGACACTGTGGTTGAGCCTTACAACGCCACCCTCTCTGTCCATTAGTTGGTAGAGAACACTGATACCCTGATGAGGCCTAATGCACTGACAATGAGGCCCTCTACGACATCTGGTTCTGCACCCTCAAGTTGACCACACCAACCTCCGGAGACCTGAACCACCTCGTTTCAGCCACCATGAGCGGTGTTACCACCTGCCTCTGCTTCCCTGGTCAGCTCAATGCGGACCTCCACAAACTGGCAGTCAACATGGTGCCTTTCCTATGTCTTCACTTCTTCATGCCTGGCTTCGCCCCTCTCACCAGCAGTGGAAGCAGCAGTATTGGGCTCTCACAGTGCCTGAACTCACCCAACAGGTCTACAATACCAAGAACATGATGGCTGCCTGTGACCACCACCATGGCCAGTACCTCATTGTGGCTGCTGTGTTGCGTGGCCGGATGTCCATGACGGAGGTAGATGAATAGATGCTCAATGTGCAGAACAAGAATAACAGCTACTGGGCGGAATGGATCCCCAACGTCAAGATGGCTGTGATATCCCGCCTCATGGCCTTAAGATGGCAGTCCAGGAGCTATTCAGGTGCATCTCTGAGCAGGTCACTGCAGTGTTCCCCTGGAAGGCCTTCCCCACTGGTACACAGGTGAGGGTATGGACAAGATGGAGTTCACCGAGACTGAGAGAAGCAAGGACTACCTTGTTTTTGAGTATCAGCAGTGCCAGGATGCCACTGCAGAAGAGGAGGATTTCAGTGAGGAGCCTGAAGAGGAGGCCTAAAGCAAAGCCTCCATCACCGCAGGCTTCTCAGTTCCCTTAGCCTTCTTCCTTATCTGCCCCTTTCCTCTCCTTCAGAATTTGTGTTTGCTGCCTCTTCCCCCACCACTTTTGGGGGGTCTAGAACAGTGCCTGGCCACATGGTAGGCATTCAATAAATAT